CCCTTAACTTTTCCCTTAAGAGCTCAACCAGAATCCGACTTCAGTTAAAGTCACGCAGCTGCAGCATCCTCTCAGAGAAGTGGGTGTGAATTATTACGAAACGTGTTTGTACGGTTGTAATAACCTGCGATAACCAGCTGCAGGAGTTTAATTAAAAGAAAGAAGAAAAAAAAAGCAGAACAAACACGCTGGCGCGTTAATTTCCGGAGTGATGCTGCGCTGAGCTGCAGGAGCTCATTTAAAGGGCCAGTGCGCCTCTTCACGCACCTCTAACCTGCTTTATGAGACATTAAACGCGGTTTAATCTGCAGCAGCTCCCTCTCAACGCTGCTCTTGTTCAAACCGAGCAGCTGAAGCCGCTGTTTCCTCCGCAGCTCGGCTCCGGCGCCGCGCAGCCGTGGTTGCGTTTTTACCGCAGTGCATCTGCAGCATCTCGGAGGAGCCGCTGTGGCGCAGCACGAAACGGCGACGGAGCAGCTCCGAGAAGCGTCTCTCCCTCCTCTGTCCGGCTTTTATGCGCGCTCAGGCGGGTTTATGTGCGATGCCAGCGCCGAGGAAACATCTCTGCTTCCAGCACGGAGTCATCAGATAGGAGGCGAGCGGACAGGAAGGGTTTACTGTGGCCTCCGGCAGCCGCAGCACAGGAGGCCTTCAAATCAGGACAGGAGCCTCTGAGTCCATCCATTCAGGATCCAAACATCAGACCTCCAAACGGGTCTTTCTTTATTCTAGTAGCCTGCAGAGGTAGCCTTGAGATTCTCACCACAGAGCATGCAAACCAACCCCATATGCACTCGCATGTAGGTGTGTGTTCAGTAGCTGCATGTTGCACACACAGGTGTCTTTGTGAAGCTGTTTTGTCGTCCACATCTGGAGCTCTGTGCATCCAAGACCTCAGGGAAAGTCAGACCTCAGGGTGTGGAGCTGCAGCACTGTGAGTCCACGTTCACCCAAGGGTGACCATCAACACAGGCGCTGGAGGCACATCTGGGGGCAAAACTCAGAAGCAGCAATAATTTGTGGCAATAAATTCTGCAGGAGACTGTTGCAGGCTCGAGCCAAAGACCAGAGGAGGAACAAAAATTGCATGTTTTTAAGGGAAAGGAAAGACAAAGAGGCCTGATTGCACTTTACAATGCATGTTTAGCTGCTAGCTGCCACCCAGAGTGACAGTAGCTCTGAGCTTTTACTATTCACACATCAGCTGAACATCTTCAGACCTCCATCACCAACATCCAGCTGAACACGCAGAGCTTCTCCGGTTGAGGGTTTTTTGAGGCTCCTGGTCCAGTAAAGCAGCTTTTTTTTTTTTTAAAATCATCATGGCTTCATCACACCTCCTGCTGCTGACTCTGCTCTGCGGCCTGTTCGGTGAGTCGGTCCTTATTTACCTCTTTGTTTGTTTGTTTGTTTGTTTGTAGTGATTGTAGATCATCAGCTGCTCTAATGTGCTCTGGATGTGGGTGAAGCAGTGAAAGCAAATTGAACAAAGGCTTCCCAGATCTGTGCTTTTTTTTAGGACTCTTTGGCCAAACTGGCCCACATTTGAGCGGTCTATATAGGACTGGTTTGGACCTGGACCAGTCTGATGAGGTCTAGATGAGAGAAAAATCTAAAAAGATTCACAAATGAGATTCTGTGTCTTAAAGAATTTTTAGCACCTTTGGGAGAATCTCCTGCAGATTTGACCATTTTCATGCCGTTACGTTAGACCTGGACTCGTCTAATGTGGCCTTAATGTGTATGAAGCAGTGAAATTAGCTTTTTTTTTACAAACAGAATATTAGATTTGTGGAGGCTTTGGTCTCTGTGGGACCATCTACTCCACATACGACCGCTCTAATGTCGTCTACATGCAAAGGAGTCTTTATATTTTAAGCATTTTCATACATAGAATAAAGCATTAGCTGTAATTTAAACACCCTTCAGCCTCTCGGGCTTAAACTGATGCAGTTTATTTCCTTCACGTAGAGATGATCTAATGTCATGTACATGTAGGAGAAAAAAAAGCAGTAAAATCTAAATAGTTTCTTTGCATTTTCATCAATAAAACAAAGAAGTCAGAGGTTGTGTTTTCATCTGGTTCACATTTGATCCATCTGAAAACACACTGAGCCTTTTAAACTGATGTGAAAGACACAAATCTAATAAAGGATTCACAGACTGGAAGGCGTGTCTTAAATATTGAGCAGCTCTGGTATAATCAAAGGTGGATTTGACCCGTTTATCAGATCTGGACCTGCTCCAATGTGGCCTACGTGTGACAGAAGTGGTGAAATCTCCACTTTTTTTCCTGCATTTTCCTCGAGTAGAACAAAGGATTCACTTGATAAACTGGGTTTTAAAGAAGCTTCAGCCTCTCTGGGAGAAGCTAGTCCATGATGTGGATCTGCCCGAATGTTGTCTAAAGGCTCCTAAAGCAGTTAAATGTCTATTTTATTGGCATTTTTGCTGATAGAATAAAGGATTCACAAAACGCTCTGTGGCCTCTCTGGCATGATGTGATGTGGGGTTTTTAGCAATTTATACACAACGGTTGAAGCGTAATGTGGTCTACATGTAAATAAATATATATATTTTTTGCATTTTCACAAATAGAGTGACGGATTTGCGAACCAGAACTTGTGTTGTTTAAAAAAACACGCTGTAAGAAAGCTAGCCCACATCTGACCAGTCCGTCTCTGAGCAGCGATTTTAACCCTGGACCTCAAGTGGTTTAGATGAAGCAGCAAAATCAACATTTTACAAATCAGAAAGTCTGTTTTATAGAATGTTCAGTCTCTGACCAGCTTATGTTTGGATGTTTTAGATCCAGACCTGGTATAATGTGGTAAAAATGCCAAATAAGCAGCATAATAATATCTCTTGTTTTTTGATTTCTCACATAGAATCTCAAACAGAACAAAGGTTTTATAGGACTCTGTAGGGTAACTAATCCCGATCCTATTTCTTTTTTGCATTTTCACCTAATCAGACGCTGCATTGTAAAGACTCTTTAGCCGCCGTGGCATAATCTGACGCAGACAGAAGCGGTCTGCGTAGCCTGATTTTAGATCTGGACTTGGTTTAATGTGGTCCATCAGTGAAATTCCCCTTTTGTTGCGAATAGAAATAAAGGTTTTTACAGATCAAAACTGCATCTTAAAGACTCTTTAGCACCTCTGGGATTATCAAATACCAGTCTACGTGCAAGAAAAGCAGTGAAATCTCTTTTTTTTCCCCACGTTCACACATAGAATGAAGGTGTTTTAGTACCTCTGGCGTAACATAATGCAGTTTTTATCAGCATAGACGGTGAGTTTAGATGTGAATCAGGTGGTATCGGGATGAAAAAAGACAGAATGAAGGTCAGACGCTGTGCATGAAGTGGTTTTAGCTGACGTCTGTGATCTCGTCCCACAGTGTACCGGTGTCATGGCGCCTGCGCGGAGGTCGACTCGGACACGGAGGCCGTGGCAGGAAAAGGCTTCAAACTGGGCTGCATCTCCTGCAAGAGGAGGAGCGAAGTGGACGGAGCCGCCACCGTAGAGTGGTACTTCCGGCCCAGCGGGGAGGCCGACTCCATAAGAGTGAGTGCCAACTGCAAACCACCTTCAGCCGGGAGTATTTTTAGACCGACGGCAGCTCGGCGTGGAGTCGAGGCTTCTCAGGGAGTCTTAGTCATGACAGGTCCCGTGTGGTGGGAGAAAATCCATTTTTATTGTGCTCTGTGGCTGCTACGGGCCTACTTCTGCAAATAGATCAGAATTTCATCAAGTTTCCACAAAGAAACTGTCACGCAGCTCAAACTCTGTGTCCACCAGGTTTATTTCACTTCTGCTGAGCTGTTTTCTGATTCTTAATGAAGAGCTCAGTCTTTCAATCTGAGAGTATTTTGTCACAGTTTGCTTTGGTTGTGGATTCTGAACCACAGCTGGGAAACATCTGGTCTGACGCGAGCTGACTTAGCATAGCCACTTAGCCATTTTACGTCAAACATCGGAAAAGAACTATTTATAAAATTTTTACAGTTTTCAGTCGACCTGAAAAAGCACGACCATTAAAGATACCTAAGTGACTCTAACCCAAAACCCCTTCTGCTAAAGTTTCCCAAATGTTCTGCTGTAGGCTGCAAGAGTGAACACAAGAGTCTTCATGCACTGCTAGCGTCTGAGGAACCAAACACCCAGTGGATTAATATTGATGGAAATGTCACCACAACAGTAGGAAAAAAAATACACTGTAGTTGTGCAGCTAATGTGGCTAACATTAGCTGTTTTCAACCTAAACTCAGCTGCCGTTTCCATCCGTTAGCTTCTCTCCTGCGCTCTGTTGTGGTGGCCGACGGGGCAAATGACGTGCAGGAACGCAAACGAGCTGCAAATACACAAAAGCATTGCATGAACAGAAACGCGCTGCTAAAGGAAAACGCTGCATAGACAGACACACAACAGAAGGGCCTCTAGGGGCAGTAGTGAGCTTTTCACCCGAGAGGCAGACAACGGTGAGCGAGACAAGTAACGGTAGTTGAGGGAGAAGCTGCATGAAAAGGTTTGTATTCTCTCGTCTCCGTGGATAAACATAGATAACAGAGAACACAGGGAGACGGTAGTAAAACTCCACTTCAGCACCCAGATAATCACAGCGACTGAAAAGCTAAAGACCCTCGAGGCCTGAGGCACTTCTGTTGTGTGACTGGATGTGCAGCGTTTTCCTTTTGCAGCACGTTTCTGTTTACGCAGCGCTTTCATGTATTTGCAGCTCCTTTGTGTATCTGCACATCATTTGCCGCCGTCAGCCGCCGCACTCTGTGCTCACACAAACTACAGCTCAGCTCTCCATAAAGCAGCTCTCGTTCACACATTTATCTGTCACTGTTGTCAGAAAACGACGGACGAGAGTGAAACAGCAACCGAAACGTTCCGACGACACGTTAACCAACAGTCGCTTTATGTCCAAGCTGTGGCTAAAATACAAATTAGTTTTTACAACGTCGTCTTACAGAAAGTTAAAAACAAGCCGTGACGTAAATTTGGTGATATTTCCATGCAGACAGCTGTTTTGCTTTGTGCTGTCAATCGCAAATGCAAAGAGAGTGTTCTTCCTGAAGGGGGCGGGGCCAGCAGCAGCACAGAGAGTGTTC